AGTTGATTGGAAGATGTGAACCATGACCCCAAAATAAGGGGGGGGGGGGAAATGCTTAGAATGTATATGCGTAACGGAAGAGAAGCCAGACCTAAGCATTTCCACCATGCTGTACTGACGTCTCTGTAACCTTAATAAATGCTTTTAGGAGAAAATATGCCTGAAAGTCCTTTTAAGTGTTTCGTTAATCAGACACATGCCCCCAAACTAGGGCTTATATTAGGCCCAACCCCCAAAATCAAGCTAGGGCTTATTTTCAGGGTAGGTCTTACTTTCGGGGAAACCCGGTAGTGAAAAACAACGTACAGAGATCAAAAGGCTGCTGCTGATCATCAGCACAAGCTTTCACTAACCTGCACCATCAGGAGTAATCGTTCCAAGCTTCACTGCCAAGGGATAACCCATCTCCTTGTAATGTTCGAGCGCATGTCCGTTTCCTCCACTGCCATCGAAGAACCATTTGCCACAAAGTATTGATCCATCAGTGAGGTTTAGCCAAAGATTCTCCCGTAAGTCACACTTGGAGCACTTCCAGCCACTGCAAAACAAATTGCCAGAGTCAAACAGGCAGCATGAAGCTGACTTTCGTTTTTCAGCTACCCGGAATTGGATTAGCAAAAGATCACCTCATTTATTTATTATTCTAGGAAATCCACCCCACCCGCTTCAATTAACTGTAGATGCCCATAGCAGTCAAAGGAAGGAAAGAAATGTCTTCAGGATATCCAAAGTCACAACCAGAATGAATCTGCATCAATTTGGTTGAACCTGAACATGCCAACATTGCATTATGATATACAGGCAGTCCTCAACTTACAACCACAATTGAGCCCAACATTTCTGTTGCTCAGTGAGACAATGGCTAAGTGAAATTTGCTCCATTTTACGACCTTTCTTGCCACAGTTATTAAGTGTATCACTGCAGAGGTTAAGTTAGTAACACGGTTGTTAAATGAGTCTGGTTTCCCCATTGACTTCTGCTTATCAGGAGGTCACAAAAGGGGATCACATGACCCCGGGACACTGCAACCGTCATAAAAAAAAAAGAGTCAGTTGCCAAGCGTCTGAATTTTGATCATGTGGCCATGGGGATGCTGCAACGGTCGTTAAGTGTGAAAAATGATCATGTCACTTTTTCCAGTGCCGTTGTAACTTTGAACGGTCACTAAACTAACTGTGGTAAGTCGAGAACTATCTGTAATGAGTTGGTTTAGGATTACTTCTTTACACTAAAAAAGATTTAGTTATCTATTTAAAGAAACAGGAATATATTTCGTCCCTCAGCCATCATGAATCAGAGTCCCAATATATAGAAACAAAATCATAACGAGAGATCATTCCTCTCCCAATCCCATCATCAATTCAGAAAATTCTGAACTGACAGCTGTGTATTCTCTATCTATGCCATGAGCCCTTTAGAATATGACCAGAACAGCTTCCTTTTCATTACTGCTGGACAATCCGTGCCCCGTTGGGTCATCGTTTCAGAGATATTTCCTTACCTATAGAGCAGCGGTTCTCAACCTATGGGTCACGACCCCATTTGGGGTCGATTGACCATTTCACAGGGGTCGCCAAGCAAGGCTGTCCGCCATTTTTTTTTCCCTTTTCCGGCGGGTGCCTTACCTCCCTTGAGCTGGGCCAGCTGGTGGTCGGCCTGCTCCGTCTCTGCCGCTTGCCAGCTACGCCTCGGCCGGCGCAGGGGGCGGAACCACACATGCGCGGCACTCCCGGGCAGGGAAAATCCTCGACTTACGACCGGTTGGGTAGTCCTCAACTTACGATCGGTTTAGTCCTCGACGTACGACCGGTTTAGTCCTCGACTTACGACCGGTTTAGTCCTCGACTTACAACCGGTTTAGTCCTCGACTTACGACCGGTTGGGGGTCACGGCATTAAAAAGGTTGAGAACCACTGCTATAGAGGAACATAAATATTCCTTCCTTCCTTCCTTCCCTTAATAATTCATTTCTTTGTGTATAAAACACAACAATCTCACCTTGGTGGAATCCTGACCCCGTTGTCCATTTGCACCAGAGTGTTGGCATGTTTGGAGATTTGCAGCTCTTCTTCCCATGAGTCTGGGTCTTGCTTTCTGTAGGGAGATTTCGAACTGAGGACTGCATCACAAGCTATTGTCACCTGGAGTGGAGGGAAGATTCAGCTGAACATCAAAGGCAGGCAGAATGATTATTTGGTTTGTCCTGGTCCTTTTGTTGTTGTTTGTTGTTGGCTTGTAACCAAGAACACTAACAATAGTAAACATTTTCAGGTAGTCCTCTGGAGGACCTATTGTTACCCTCACATAATCCCAGTAATCCTTTCAATTGTGGCATAAATTACTCTGACTGCATCCAAAAACTGCAAATTAATAGTGGAACTATGGTTGAGAAACACCAATTTGCTTAAAGTTATCTGGCAAATTCAAAAGAGAGGTGTGAATTGACATCCCTGAATCGGTCTTTCACAATACACACATGGCTGGCTGAGGAATTCTGAGAGTTGAAGTCCACGTATCTTCAAGCTGCCAAGATTGAGAAACACTGTTTTAGATAGAAGGTGAAAAAGGTGGAACAGAATTTGCAAGGATTTGCAAGCATCTGCCTAAATAGGAAAATCAATTAAATGTCACTGCCTTTCTCTTCCTATGCTGAAATGACAAAAACCTGATATGCAACCAAAACAGAAACTATGTCTGGGTTCATACAAAATTTAGTTGAGATCATGAAAATAAATTCCTGTGCTCTCAGAGATACTCTCTAGACATCTTAAACTATAAGCATTTGCACACATTGCCTTGTTGACCTTTGAAGCTAACTAGGAATTCTTAAAGATGGCAACATAAACACATACATGTACAGATACCCATGTATCTGTAGGAGCCCCTTTTCCTGTGTGGATTAGACCAGGGCTTTTCAACCTTTTCACCCATTGTACCACTTTTAGGATATGGCAACATCTGAGTACCAACAGTCACCTAGCAAGGGGTCAAAAACTTGATGACCAAAAAAAAAAAAAGGAAAAAAGTGATAAAGTACAGGTAGTCCTCGACTTATAACAGTTCACTTAGTGACTGTTTGAAGTTACAATGGCACTGAAAAAAGTGTCCCCCAAGCCACAGCCGAGCAAGACACCTGCCTGGCCGCGCTCTTCTTGCTGTCCAAGATTTTCATTGTTGTGAGCATTTCTGTTGAGGATTGGCAGCGGGGGTGGGGGGTGTTTGGTTTTTATTCCCCCCCCCCCGTCTGCTGGGTGGTTGCAGCAGGTTTTGGTCACTTCACATGCCCCTGGGACACTGTGAC